CCTTCATTTTACTCTCCCTCCTATCTCTCTTATTCTCTCTGACTTTACTGTAATCTTTATATATCATAACCGTACAGTTGTGCCTATGAACCCATGATAGTGCCTCACATGTAATCAATGAGATAAAAAAATACGTATGAATCGTTGAGTGGAAATAGTGATCACTTCTGTAAACCTTCACCCAATTCAAAATTAAAAACAACAAAAAACATTCGCTCTGGAATCTCCCACACCATTAGCAAAGCCTTCGGAATGGACTTTTCTGCCTTGCATTGAACTGGCTCCGTGGATCTCCTTGGAAGCCACTGCTTTGATTGGAAGTGCGTTTTTTCCCCCTGAAGGCTCCCTAATGAGACCAAGATAAATTTCTTATTGTGCTGCTGTCCACTCATCGTACACACATGTTCAAACAAGTTTCCTTTGGGATGAACTCATGCGTGTACAAGCTGGAACCCTTGTCCCAATCCTTGTTGCCTTCCCTTCCTAAGGGCTGTTGCTGGTGTCTCATGGCCAGCATATGCGTAATATAAGGAAACGCTGCCTGGTTCTGCCCCGTCATCAAATGTGGTATATTTGAGTCCATGGTCTAGGGTCAGGCCATCTTATTTCGAGGACCCTCTCCCAGGGCCTCAAGGAATATGTGCTATGGACCATGTAGCCACCAGGGGGATCCCCCTGTCCTCTGAGCAAGGGCTTGAAAACTGATCACCCCACCATAGGCACTTACCTCGCTTTAAGGGCAGGAATGGCAAGTAGGGGCGGTGGAGTTTGACGTGACCCACAATGGGGGTTGTTGCTGGAGAAATGACAGAGGGTGAGAGGGTTCCGGAGGAAATTTAGGGAACAAATATATAAAGTGTGTGTAGGAAGGGAGAGAGAGGAAAGGGTGAAAGCAAGGCAGCCATTTAAAAGGCTGCCGTCTTCAGGAAGTGAGGCTCGAGCCCACACATGCAGGCCCTACCACCAGGGAGAGGGGCACCAGGATGCCACCACTGCCTGAGGTAGGGCGGGGATGACATGGGCAGCCAGTGATTTGGGTGCTGCGGGAGTGCGAGGCCTACAAAGGAATGCCATGAACCATTCTTCCCACAGTGTGGCCCCACAGGGGCTAGGAAAAGGTTTACTTTGGAGGTTCACACACCCAAGCGCTGTCAAGGCTGGTTGTGACAGAGCTCATACAGCAAGGGAGCTGCTGCCCAGCTCACCACTGTGGAATGTGTGAAAGGGAGAGATCACTGGGCACCCGCAGGCTATGGGCCAGGGGCGCAAGGGGCATCCTGGAATATCTCTAATAAGTAGAACTCTGAGCACCCCACTTGGGCAGCAGAGTGGGGTGACTGAAAGCCTGGAGGTGGAGGGAAAGGGAAGCAGGTGCTCCTGCAGGACCTCAGCCTCACCCCAGGAGTGATTCACCTGTCAGCATCAATTCCAGAACTCCAGTCCCCAGAGCACTGCCCAATGGCTAGACAGGGTGGCAATTTGCCCATTTTAAAGCAGGGAAAATCATTTGGCTCCTGAATGGTACCAGATGTCTGGGCCAGAGAACAGATAATAAAGAAGTAAAATCCTGTTATATAGCATTTGCCAATTTTTGTGGTGTAAATACTCTTATCCCAGACGATTTCCAGCTATCTCAGATTTAACTGGCTTGCAGAATCGGTGAACATTTAACAATGGCCTTTATGACAGGCCCTTGTTGTCTGAGCAGGCATGTTCCTGCTTCCTAAGCAAAATAAGCAGGGCATTGTGCCAGGTGCCAGACAGGAGGAGACCCAGTCCCTGGCCTAATTACAAATTAATAGAGAAAAGAAGAACTGGTGGGCACAAGGTCCGTATGATGACTTCTCAGCTCTGAGAAGTAAGAAGGAACTACACAGAAGAAAGGGGACAGGTGGCAAGGACTGCATTCTTTTTTTTTCTTTTTTAACATTTTATTAGGGGCTCATACAACTGTTATCCCAATCCATACACACATCAATTGTGTAAAGCGCATTTGTACATCGTTTCTCAAAACATTTTCTCTCCACTTAAACCCCCGACATTAGGTCCTCATTTTTCCCCTCCCTCCCCGCTCCCCGCTCCCTCATGAGCCCTTGATAGTTTATAAATGGGTATTTTGTCATATCTTGCCCTGTCCGACGTCTCCCTTCATCCACTTTTCGGTTGTCTGTCCCCCAGGGAAGAGGTCACACACAGTTCCATGTAATCGGTTCCCTCTTTCCTACCCATTCTCCCTTTACCCTCCCTGTTTTACCACTCACACCACTGGTCCTATAGGGCTCATCCATCCTGGATTCCCTGTATTTTCAGTTCCTATCTGTACCCGTGTACCTCCTCTGGTCTAGCCAGACTTGCAAGATAGAATTCGAGTCATGGTAGTGGGAGCAGGGAGGAAACATTTAGGAACTAGAGGAAAGTTGTATTTTTCATCATTGTTACATCACACCCTGACTGGCTCATCTCCTCCCCGAGACCCCTCTGCAAGGGGATCTCCAGTGGCCTACTAATGGGCTTTGGATCTCCACTCCACACTCACCCCATCATTCACTATGGTAAGAAGGGACTGCATTCTTAATGGAGAAACAAGCACACGCAAAAACACCCAGAGAGGAAGGGCAGCACAAGGGTTTTCAACTCCCATCTGAGGGCAAGATGCGAAGGCTACAGTGAGAGGGGCGACGGATCTAGGAAGTCAGAGGAGGCAGCAGGGGCAAGCTACCCAAGGGTCCTGTGAGAAAGACTAGGGCGCGAGTACCTTTCTCATCTTCATGGGGCTCCACTACAGGGGCTCATCGTCATGTCCAGCCCTCTGACCTGGATACCACTGAGGAATCCACGCTGGGGAACCGCGCAAGCTTGTCTGAAGTCATTGATTTGAACAGGACTGCCCCTGGGGAGTCCCAGGGAACTGCTTCTTACAGAGACTCTACCCTCCTCCACCTCCTCCTGGATTTGAGACCACCGAGGTCCCCTAAGATACCTAATGCAATACAGGAGGGGTACTTCCCACTGCCCATTGCTCGAAGAGGTAGCACCAGGACCAAAGCCGGTCACAACCAACATGCGAGTCAAAGGCGAGAAATATAGGGAGACAGAACTGCTCTGGTCCTAAGAGAGCATTCAACACACCAACAAGCCAAACCTCCGTCCACTAGCTTGCCCTCTTCTTCAACAGATAGGGTATCAGCATTGACTGAATTGCCTACCTAGCGGTGTAAGCACACCAAACCTTAGGGGATGAGGATTGGGATGCTAGGCACGCTAGTTAACCACCAAGAGAAAGTGCCTGGATTAAAGACAACCCATCCAAGGACCTTGGACAAATGCTGCTGTTCCCAAGGAGCATGCCAACCCCTCTTACCCATCCTGGCATCATCCATGCCAAGGCTCTAACCTAGACAGTTCAGCGATCAAAAAAAAAAAAACACACCACAAGAAAGAACATTTCCTTCCCAGAACTGGGTGGAAGCACATTCTTGGTCAGCCATTGTGCAACCAGGGTGGGGAGAGGAGCTGCTTCGTTGTCTTAGGAAAGTGTTCCTCTCCTCCCAGGTGCTGAGTAAGCGCCTCCTTTGGGCAGGAAACACCCTGTCCTCCTCCATGGCATGTCCCCCAGAATAGGGTAGAGATGGGACCTCAGAAAATAGCAACAAGAGCTTTGCTCACGCTCGCCTCAACGTGGGAGTTTGTCTTCCCTCCCCACGTTCACCTCCTTAACGATGTATTCTCCTAGAACAAGCCAAGAATGTCTCTCCATTCTCCTCCAACACAGCACTTTATGCCTTGACTAGGGAAAAAAGGAACCCCACTGTTCCTAAGTCGGGCATCACTCTGACTGGCAGACTGCCCTTCCTCTAACGTGTGCAGGGCCTTGGGGTGTCTAGCACTCACATTAGAAATAAAATGTTGGAATTGACTTGTGACATCAGCCCACTTGTCAGGGCACATTTTTATGATTCATTGTTTCTGTGTGCCCCTCAATGGTCCTCACACAGCCGACCCAGATCCGTGATCCTTCCCGCTTAGGGACACTGAAGAGTGTGCAAACGCACAGCCACAGCATTCCTTGGTGACTGTTTTCTCCCACTCACTTCAAATCCTAAAGCTGAGGTTGGACAGGAACTTTTCAGACCAGCAGAGAAAAGTGTCTATGAATTTCAACGGGGAAGACAAACTACAGAATCATCAGCTCAATGGGAAGAGCGAACATTGAGGAGAGAGGGCTTAAATCCACCATGTGCAGAAGTCAGACTTCTGGGCAGGGTGGCCTTGGGGCATCTCTGCTTCTGTCCTCTTACAAAAGTAATAATTGAACAGCTTCTCACACCAGACAGAAACAAAGAACCTAGGCATTAGAAACTTGGCATCTGGGGTTCTCTTGTCTTTCTAAGAAAGGGTCTGTCACCAAAGTAGCCCCCAGTTCCATGTCAGGCTAGCAGAAAGAAGGGTTCAACTCTGAGGAGGAAAGAAATAAAAGAAAGAAAAAATAAAGTCAGAGGACACTTCTTGCTCAGACCTTTAGGCAAATTCCTCTAAGCCCTTTAAAGACTCGCACCCAGTGGGGAGGGTGCTGCTGGTGACGGAGAAAGCCTGTGTGGGAAGGGGGCACACAAGGGAGTGTCTGCAGTAAGCAGAAGGGAGAGACAATTATCACAGATCAGCTCCTTGTCTCCTTTGTGTGAAGATATGACTAACTCATTACTTCAGATCATTTGCATCCAGCCTTATTGTGCTGTGATCAAGTCAAGGCTGGAAGGCAGGAGAATTTCTCCATGACTAAAGGAAGCCAAAAAGGCAATCTTCATATTTCATACCTTTCTAGAAACTGGGGGTGATCTCACTATTTGTAAAGCTCAGCCCATCCCAACCTGCAAGCTCACCTTGCAGGACCAGCCCATTCTGGCTATATATAAAGGGTGCCCGGAAGCGCAGACAGAAAGCAAGGCAACTCACAGCTCCACTGCAGCTTCTCGCACTTGCTCACCTCCTCCTCTTTACAGAACCAAGTCCAGCAAATCCACCATGACCCGCCACGGCTTCAGCACCAGCTCTGCCAGAGTCCCTGGGACCTGCCGCTCAGGCTTCAGCAGCATCTCCGTGTCCCGCTCCAGGGGCAGTGGTGGTCTCAGTGGGGCCTGTGGAGGGGCTGGCTTTGGCAGCAGGAGCCTCTATGGCCTGGGGGGCCCCCAGAGGATCTCCGTTGGAGGGAGCAGCTGTACCACGAGGAGTGGATATGGCGGCAGACTGGGAGGCGGCTTTGGCTTCGGAGGAGCAGCCGGGAGTGGATTTGGTTTTGGCAGTGGAGCTGGTGGTGGCTTTGGGCTTGGTGGTGGAGCTGGATTGGGTGGTGGCTACGGGGGCTCTGGCTTCCCTGTCTGCCCTCCCGGAGGCATCCAAGAGGTGACGATCAACCAGAGCCTGCTCACACCTCTGAACCTGCAAATCGACCCCACCATCCAGCGCGTGAAGACTGAGGAGCGCGAGCAGATCAAGACCCTCAACAACAAGTTTGCTTCCTTCATCGACAAGGTGAGGAACGAGCACCTTCCCCTGACCGGGCCTTTTAGAGTCCCACCACTGGAGCAACAACGAGAGCTTGCTGCCAGGGCGACACTCAAAGGAGTAGAAGGGGACTCAGATTAGCTTACCACAGAGGGCCACCCGGGCTCCCTGCAGATAGCAGGTAGAGGGAGGGAGATCATGCGGAACTGACGAGTCTTCGAAAGGACTCCCATTGTGTCCAGGAAGATTCCTCCACTTTTGCTAGCCCTGAAGCATAAGGGAGTGATGGTATGAATGGATTCATTTTTTTACTTCTGAAGTTTCTAAGAGATTCCAAAGATCAGCCAGCCACAAAACTGCTTTGAGGCTCTGAGTAGGGGGAAAACAAGACTATTCAGCCCCAATATAGGACTGTTTGTGCATCCAGAGAAATGTCATTATTCATGAAACAGAGGTGACCATGCACCAAGGATGTTTCCCAGGACATTCCTGCACTAAAGGGAAGTTAAGAGTCCTTTTGAATAATTAGATAACACCATCCCTTCTAATGGAGCTCCTATACAAAGGACAAGTTTTGTACAATAAACCAGGGAGATGCTAATTTTGAACCAGATTCCTAAGTGTGCTTGTCGAGAGGAGAATGTTGCAGGTTGCTGATACGCCCCATACGTGCAGGGTGGGCAAAGCTCACAGGTCCATGGGACAGTTTCTCTGGGGGTGGTGGTGAAGATAAAGACTTGGAGATCTGGACTCTCAGCCTGAGCCCCTGTACTGCTGCACCCAGGCAGGTCCAATGGAGACCTCCCAGGCCTGGTTGCAGCCCTGAGAACAGAGACGCTTTCTTCTCTTCCTTTGCCTACAAATGACCACCTTGTTTCCCCTCCAGGT